TGATGAAGGTGATGAAGGTGATGAAAGTGATGTGTGTGTACCAACAGAATGATCCAGAGTCAGCGTGGTGCGTTCAGGGTCGACTTGTCGGTCAGATCAGTTTATTTTCTTTTTAAAACTAAAAACAAACAGGAACTTACAAAATCAAATAAATACAAACTCTAGAATTATTAACTGTCTGATTTCACAGTGACGACTGCGTGGCTAATGCTAATGCTAATGCTAATCAGATGCATCGAGCAGACAGGAGGAGTACAAAAGTAAAAAGGTTTCAGGGAAATAGAAAAAGTAAAGAGAGGTTTTATAAAACAGGAGAATGAAGAAACAGGAAATGATGTCATGTTGTTAGAGGCGGGGCTGAGGGCAGTGGGTGGAGTCTGTGTCCTGAAAAGTCTCCGTCCTTTTTATTCTTGTATGATTTGACTTTCTGCAGGATCACATGATGCTGCAGCACTTACACGGCTGTTTCTCCTTCTTTATCTCCACCGCTCCTCCCTTCACCTCCTCTGCCGTCTCACCATTGCTCGCCGCCGGCTGTGTCCCTGGAGGTTTGGTGGAGGGCGGTGGGGCGGAGGAGGCAGCTGGAGGCGGAGCTGGTGTCTGAGTGCCAACCACTGCCTCCTCCTTCTCTCCGCCCGGTGACGTTTTCCCGTTGGCGTCATCGATGAGCACGAGCTCTGCCTTCACCGTCCCCTGCAGACCCAGAACCTTCCTGGTCTCATCCTCGTCCTCCACGCTCTGGTATCCCATGAACACCATGGTGACGGGGTTCTCGGCGCTGGCCTCGGCCATGCTCGGCTCACCGCCCACTTTGGTTTCCAGCCCGGTGATCTCCGTTGGTGGTGGCAGCTCGGGAACCACCTCCTCCTGGACCTCCGCTGTCGGGAGGGAAGTCACCGTGGCAACAGTCTGCGACATCATCGAGGCCTCGTCGGCTTTATGGATCAGGTCTTCGACCTCGGAGGAGCTGAGCAGCTGGACGCCGTCTTCACCGTTCATCTCGTGGACCACTGAGGGACAGAGAGACAAGATCAGGATCAGACTGCAGACCAGAATCAAGATCAGAGTCCAGATCAGGATCAAGATCAGAGTCCAGACCAGGATCAGAGTCTAGACCAGGATCAGGATCCGAGTCCAGACCAAGATCAGGATCCGAGTCCAGACCAAGATCAGAGTCCAGATCAGGATCAGGATCAGACTCTAGACCAGGATCAGGATCAGACTCCAGATCAGGATCAGAGTCCAGACCAGGATCAAGATCAGAGTCCGGATCAAGATCAGAGTCCAGATCAGGATCAAGATCAGAGTCCAAACCAGGATCGGGATCAGAGTGCAGACCAGGACCAGGATCAGAGTACAGACCAGGATTGGGATCAGAGTCCAGATCAGGATCGGGATCAGACTAAAGACCAGGATGAGGATCAGACTGCAGATCAGAGTCCAGACCAGGATCAGGATCAGAGTCCAGACCAGGATCAGAGTCCGGATCAAGATCAGAGTCCAGATCAAGATCAGAGTCCAGACCAGGATTGGGATCAGAGTCCAGACCAGGATCGGGATCAGAGTCCAGATCAGGATCAGAATCCAGACCAGGATCAGGGTCAGACCAGGATCAGGATCAAGATCAGAGTCCACACCAGGATCGGGATCAGAGTCCAGATCAGGATCAGGATCAGAGTCAGGATCAGGATCAGACTCCAGACCAGGATCAGACTCCAGATCAGGATCAAGATCAGAGTCCACACCAGGATCGGGATAAGAGTCCAGATCGGATCAGAGTCTAGACCAGGATCAGAGTACAGACCAGGATCAAGATCAGAATCCAGACCAGGAACAGAGTCCAGACCAGGATCAGGATCAGA